ATTTATTGCAGAGGTAGCTAAAGTGATATCCTCAATATTTATTATCATTATTATTAAAGATGTTGTTAGACTGCAGCTGCCATCAGCCCCTGCCAGCTTTTAGGTACAATAATTCATATTAAAATATGTTACAAGTGCCTGGAAGAATCCTTCAACTTTCATTTTCAGTACCCATAATTTTTGCAGTCATTTGGACCTAGGGTAGTCCTTCTCTGTCTGAAGCCCTCAGGTCTCCTTAGGGGGCAGTGGTGCTATTGATGATTTTCTAATGGAGCTGTGTCATGGCCCAGGACAAAGTTCCAGCCACTTCTCAGTCACCAGTGCACGAAACTCTTAGTCTCAGGGTTGTGGATTTGAGCCCCATGTCGGGCAAAAGAGTCCTACATTGCAGGAGATTGGGCTGAATAGCCCTCAGGTTCCCTTCCAAGGCTATGATTCTATGTACTAATGTACTGATTAATTTTCAGGAGGACTGAATGCAAGATTGGAGAAATGAGAATGAGAGCAAAACCAGAATAGATATTCCATTCTTAAAAGGTAAAGGTAAAGGGACCCCTGACTGTTAGGTCCAGTCGCGCACGACTCTGGGCTTGCGGTGCTCATCTCGCTTTACTGGCCGAGGGAGCCGGCGTTTGTCCGCAGACAGCTTCTGGGTCATGTGGCCAGCATGACTAAGCCGCTTCTGGCGAACCAGAGCAGTGCACGGAAACACCATTTACCTTCTCGCCGGAGCGGTACATATTTATCTACTTGCACTTTGATGTGCTTTCAAACTACTAGGTTGGCAGGAGCAGGAACCAAGCAACGGGAGCTCACCCCGTCGCGGGGATTCGAACCGCCAACCTTCCGATTGGCAAGCCCTAGGCTCTGTGGTTTAGATTACAGTGCCACCTGCATCCCATTCCATTCCTGTGTTGTTGTTGTTGTTGTTGTTGTTGTTGTTTAGTCGTGTCCGACTCTTCGTGACCCCATGGACCAGAGCACGCCAGGCACTTCTGTCTTCCACTGCCTCCCGCAGTTTGGTCAAAATTCCATTCCTAGCAGTAGTCAAATACACAAATGGTTGCCTAATAATGTTTGTCTACTTGTTTCACCTTATTTCCGTCTACTCAAAATATTTTTACTTTCTTTTTATTTTTTGTCTCGGGCAGGTGCACTCTGACACGGCTGGCATAGATTATAAATAGCTTGCATGGCTGGGTGGTGGGGAGAGTAATTTATTTGCTTCTGCTGCCACCTGTTGAGGTAGCTTTTCACTGCAATGAACACTGAAATAAATGAATTGAGAGGAAATTGTTTGCAGAGTAGTTTGTGGGTAGATAATACTTTAGTTTTCTTACAAATTTAGAAAATATTTCCTGCAGATATATAAGTAATCTACTTCCTGACTTTTTTAAAAATATCTTAAATTGTAATTCTGCCAAGAATAGCAGTACTGCAGATATAGCAGTAGTTCTCTTTATTGGCTGAAACAGACAAACAAACTGCATCTTACAGTTTGTTATATAAACTATAAAGATTCTGTGGTCTTCATATAATCTGTTTTTGCTAGATCTTTATTGCACTATGTAGACTTTTATTTGCTTGAAACAATTTTCAAACAACGGGCAAGTAGAACAGGCAAGGAATGTGCCCCTCCCCTCTAGCAGCCCCCCATCACCCCCTTAAAGTCTGTTCCGAAAGGTTGAGGAATAACATGGCAGATTGTGCAGGAAGCTTGTGGGAAGGGGTTGAATTGGCAAAAATAGCCTCCCTCCCCATTCCACCTATGGGAGTCTCCACTAGATCGTAGAGTCTTTGGCCAGCAGAGGGACACCATTGGATAAAATCCATGATATATACTCAAAACTGGTCAAAAAAGTGAAGCAGGCACACTGGAACCTTAAAATAAATGCTTAATTGTTTTCCCCTGCTGCCAGCTGACGGAGGCCTAATTTTAACATTAGCTTTTCAGCGCCAGCCACCCTAATACCTTACGTTTTCAAGCTTAAAAGTTGCCTGTGGGTTATGTATTCTGTGAAGGCACAGAGAAATGCACCTTTAAGGCTACTTGCACTGAAAATCCCTGGCGGGTTTAGCTGGCTCAAGTTGCAGCCTTCTCTGGAGCGCTGCAGAATGAGGTGCGGTGGAGATAATGTTAACTGGCATTTCCCAAATGCAGCATTTAATTGCTCAAGAGCAGCTTCAATTGGCCCACGCTTTACATTAGGTCACCTGGAGGCAATTTGCTTATGATTGTGTGGCCTCTGGCTATCTAGTGTGTCAGAACTAATAGAAATGTATCTCGGTTACCCTCCAACAATCGTTAACCTCCGTTTCTTTCAAGTTCACCTACTGTCACTATTCACCAACTGCATTTCTGCAGATGTCTTGTAACTGCCCCAAGCAATCAGGTATCTCTGCAGGGGCCATAGCCACGGTGTGTGTGTGTGTGGGTGTGTGGTGTCATTGGAGAATCAGTCTCTCCCAATATTACCCTATGCTTCTTTCCAAAGTGTTCAATTTTAATTAAACAGTGTCTCTGTTCTTTTACAGAGGCAGAGGCATTGTTAAGGAGAAATGTTATTCAGTAGCTCAGCTAGAACTAACTTGCTTCAATGTCAAATGTAACTGTATGCTATCGAAATTGATTAACTTTATTACAGTGCTTGGGTTTAGATATTATATTTATTACTGGTTGTTTTTGTTGACTTACCAGAGCCCACCATTGCCACTACCACCAAAATGTAGCTTTATCACTTTCCCCACCTTTTTTCATGAACGTATCCTGTGATCCTGTGCGTGGTTACTCAGAAGTAATTGTCACTAAGTTCAATGAAACTTACTCCCAGCTGTGCACACATAAAATTTCAGGCATACTTAAGGGTTAAGTTTGACCTACCACAAAATGTTGCAGTGGAGGGGTGTCCCCTCTTCAGAGTTCTAGCCACTCCAGTCCATTAAACCCCTCTTCCTGCCCTGTAAGCTGTCTGATACAGTAAGCCTGCAACATACACAGGGGTTAAGTTTCAGGAATCATGCTTAAAGCCAAAATGGTGTATGGTCAAACCCACTTGGTTCAATGGCAGGTGGGATTGGCAACAGCATTCCCCCACCCCCAAGATAAAATTTGCGTAGGTTCCTCAATGAGCAAACCACCCATTAAATGAGAGCTTCAGATAGTCTTCTGGTCAAAATGAAAGCCCCCAAAATGAACCCCCTGCGCTGACAGCAAAAGAGCACTCTCAGAAGTCAAATGTTGTAGCTAAATGCCTACCTTTTAAGAGGTCTGAATGCCTCAAGCTGTAATGCCTCTCTAGCAAATTCAGCCCTTTCCCCTCCTTCTATTTTCCTCCTACAGTATATTGAACATGATTGATTGCTTTCCTTTATGTCTGCTGCTTTCTCACTTACTAGTGCTTGCACCAGTGACTCTGACTTTTAACAATTTCAATTACCCTGTGGGTTATCAGAATAAAACACAATCTGATTATCTAGCCTAAACCCCCAAGCAAAACTGACATCAGCAGTGAGAAATAGCCTTACAAGGGCTTTTTGAGGATGCAATCAGCACCATCTCGTCTAAATCTCTCCAGGAACATGGAGTAAATGGAATTGTGGCGAGATTGTGGCGGGGTGGGGATGGGGAGCGATGTGGGTTGATTTGGCAGGAAAATAATATTCAGCTGCTTCTGACAATTTCTTTGCATTCAAATGCTGACATAATCATTTTGAGCATGGCAAATATAATTGCTTTCCTTTCAGTTTTGTATAGCTTCCTTCTTTCTTTAAGAACTTTTACCTACCACAGGGGGGGGAGAGTGCTCTTGTGCTGAAATCCAGACCCTCCAATTGTCCCTAGGGACAGTTTCAGATTTACAGAACCCATCCCGGTTTCTGATTTGATCCCAGAATGTCCCACTTTTCCTTAGTAAAGGTAAAGGTACCCCTGCCCGTACGGGCCAGTCTTGACAGACTCTAGGGTTGTGCGCCCATCTCACTCTAGAGGCCGGGGGCCAGCGCTGTCCGCAGACACTTCCGGGTCACGTGGCCAGCATGACATCGCTGCTCTGGCGAGCCAGAGCCGCACACGGAAACACCGTTTACATTCCCGCTTGTAAGCGGTCCCTATTTATCTACTTGCTCCCGGGGGTGCTTTCGAACTGCTAGGTTGGCAGGCGCTGGGACCGAACAACGGGAGCGCACCCCACCGCGGGGATTCGAACCGCCGACCTTTCGATCGGCAAGCCCTAGGCGCTGAGGCTTTTACCCACAGCGCCACCCGCGTCCCTATTTTCCTTAGGACGTCCCTATTTTCATCGGGAAAATGTTGGAGGGTATGGAGTTATATGACCCCCTCCCCCAAGCCATGGAGATAAGTAACTCTACAACTTTTCGAAGACATCTGAAGGCAGCCCCATATACAGATTATTTTTTTAATACTTAATGTTTTATTATGTTTTAATATATGTTGGAAGATTTCCAGAGTGGCTGGGGCAACCTAGTCAGATGGATGGGGTGTAAATAATTATGTTGTTGTTGTTATGGAATAAGAAGTCCCTATTTTATTCACCTTATGGGGATGAAAGGGAAGATAGGAGGAGGCTGTGTATGCTGATTAGGATCAGAATGAACAACTACTTCATTAGAAAATACTGAAATAGAAAGCAGCAACACAGAGGCCATGTCAAGGGGAGGGATGTCTTCTATCTGTTTGGGAAAGCATAAAGCAGTACAGTCCTGAAATAAGTTTAGTTATCTTGTTGGTTTGTTTTCTGTGAATTACTATTCCATATATAATGACATGACCTTAGTAATTAACTCGCATGCATTTCTGAAAAGGAATTAACAATGGAAGGATTAAAGAGTTTACCTCTTGATACGGAAGTAACAAAATTCTGTTCTCTTTCCCTTCAGTGATTTGCACTTACCTCAGTGCTGCCCTTGCAAGTAACTAACATTTAACATCTCCATAGCTGGCTTCTGCTAAATATATTGTTCTCCATATTTCCCCCTAACAGCGGTCTCAGTCTGCATTCTCTCTGACCAACGAAGACGCATCACGCAGAGACAGGGACCGTGCATCTTCTGTGCCCGAATCTCTCTGGAGACAACCCAAAGGCCCGAGCGGAAAGCAGAAAGAGGACAGGCTTTCTGCATTGCCCAGCTGGAAGAGCGCGGACCAACTAAACGAACCAAGTAAAGGACTGTGATGCCTGCATAACATTTCTGTATTCTGTGTGAAAGTAGCTACTTCTCCCTAAGGTTTTAGGCTGAAACCAAGAAGAAGAAGAACTTCTTAAAGGGGTACAATAAAGGAACAGCCACCCACAAATTGACTTGAAACTTCTGCTCATAATAACCACCTATCTTTGATTAGGAAGAAAAAATATAGTAATTTGGCTAAAGATTCTGACTCACTGGCCTATTTCACATGACACAGGAAGCCAGACTTTGGCATAGCAAAGACTGTGCAAACATGCAACCACGTGCGAAGGCAAAACCGTAGCTTGGTGTAACAGTAAAAAGAGCTGTAAAATATGTAAAAGAGTAAAAAGATGGCTGTGAGCTTTTCTCTGGGTACCTGCACATTTGCACAGCCTTACCAAGGCATAGCTTGGCCTACCATGTTATATGAACCAATTTTGGACAATCAGAACCTGTAGCCTACATAAGAAGAGGTATCTGACCTCTTGCCATAGACACAAACATATGATTCTAATGTCAAATGGAAAGGAGACTTCCTCAAAACATATAATTATGTTAAATTGTTATAAAAGCTATGTTTTACATGGGTTAAAGCTAAACTGCTTACCAGTGCTCATTATTAGTCCCTGACATCTGGATTGTGGGTGGGTGTGTAAACACAACAATTATTTATTTATTTATTTATTTATTTATTTATTATTTGCAAAAAACAAAACAAAAACAAAACCCTAAAATCCATCAAGATTAAGAAAATAAAAATAAAAAATATGGTGGTGAATAACATAACAAAAATAAAAATCAACAGTAAAATTACATTTCTAAGTACAAAATTTGTATCACAAATCAGTGGATCAGCTTTATACATAAACATAGATGGATCACCCCTCAGAAAAAGACTGAGTGAAGAGATCAGTTTTAAATGCTAATATTATAAGTGCCTGCCTTTTGTTTTACACACTTTGCTCCTTATCCAGCTAAGGATAAATCCATGAAAGGCAGTTTCCAAGCATGCGTGACCCTGGTTGAATCAGGACAGCTGTAGCTAATGATAGTTTTTCTTAAATGGCTACCTAATGCACTGGTGGCAGAAACCACCAGGCAGCTCTTCCAGAAACCCAAGAAGGTAATTCGTGCACACATTTTGTGTGAGGTCGCTTGAATAAGCACTGGCAGATGATGCTTATGTGAACTTCACTAGTCAAGCACTGAATACTTCAAAAGATTCAGTCTTGGGAAAGACCTTGACCTCTTTAGCATGAAGGAATTATCTCCCAAGGCGTTTCACGGTGTCTTTGACATAAGCAGCAATTTGCAAGCATAAATAGGCTGTGGTAATTTAAATAAGAACCTGACAGTTCTACTTATTCACATTTTGTGCTTTCCCTGATTTTAGCCGTGTTTTGCTCCAGCCGTCCCACAATCATTGTCGCTACTATATTGTAGATTTTATCTATTAATAATATATGCTGTGCTGAACAGATAATGCTGCAAGTGAAATTATCTAAAGTTTCCAGAACTTATTTATGGTCATTAAACTACTGGGGACCCATGCTTTCACCTAACAAAACATAAAATCGCTACATTTAGCTGAATATGCACATAATAAGGCTATTTAAGGCTTGGACAGATAAAGCTTCTAGCTTTAGTATTTTCAAGGCCATCTAATCTGTCCACTTTGAAAGTCATTTATGGCAATGTGAAACTGCAGCCCAGATGGTTGGTTCTTATAAGGTGACATTATACAACAGATTTTCTTACAGTGTGCTAGAAAGTGTATGTATATTCAGCGTGCTGCTTATTGTACAATGATCTAGCAATGGTCCTCCATGCCTGAAATTAATTTTTTGCACACATAATGCAAATCAGTGGTGCATCCTTTTATGAATTGGCACCTTGCATAGAGTCAGCACTGTCAGCAGGAACAGCTGGGCAAGAAGAAGCGTGAGTGCCAATCAAACACATTTGTGATACTTCAAGCACACATTCCGGGAAGCCTTTTTTAAATCACAGATCCCAGCACATGTGCAGTGCTTATATGCACTGAAATATGTTTGCTGTCAGCACTAATATAACTTAAAACTTAAATATGCCACTAACTATATTGATAGATGGGATTTGATCTGCTTTTGTCCCTTGCCCTCTAAACCAGGCACCCCCAAACTCGGCCCTCCAGATGTTTTGGGACTACAATTTCCATCAGCCCTGACCACTGGTCCTGTTAGCTAAGGGTGATGGGAGTTGTAGTCCCAAAACATCTGGAGGGCCGTGTCCCAAAACATCTGGAGGGCCGTGTTTGGGGGTGCCTGCTCTAATAAATTTCTAACAAATTCAGATGCATTGGGTCAAATCCTGATTGGTCCACTCCTCATTACCTTATCATTAGACCTTGGCTGCAAGCCTCTTGCAAGTGTCTGTTATTCCCACCCAAGATCTGTGACATGAAATACTGTGCAAATCTTTTCTTGTGCTGACACAGCAGACCCAGGTATGGTAGAACGTTTTAGGGTAATGCAACACAATAATGATGGAATTGTATCTTCCTCTTGTGTTTCCTTAGCTTTCCCCCCTGTCTTGGAAAGCACAGATGGAAACTGGGTGGCCCTGCAAAACGTCAACTTGCCTCGCCCACGAATGCTCGCCAAACCAAAGAGCCAAGTGTTCAAAGCCTTGGAGAGTGAATCCAGCGTTGTATCTGCTTATGATGAGATGGGCTCTGATAGCGAAGACGACTATGACTGGAACGTGGCTTTGAACAAGCTGCGACAGAGACCCAAGCAGCTGTCAAATTACGCTGGCTCTCAGTGCAATGCTGAATGGGAGTGTGGCAATGAACTGTACCAGCCTGTGGCCTCCCCATCATCTGGGCTGTTTACCAACGCGGAGGCAGTGTACTCTGATTCTGAAACATCCTCAGTCAGTTCTTCAAGGGAGGCTAGGGAGCCTAGCTGTCTTTCTTGGATGCAGAGGAGAACTTGTAACAGTAAACCCAGAGAGGAAAAAGCACAATTCCAGGAGGAACTCGATGTGAACTTTAACCCACAAGCTACCAGTTTAGACTATTCAGATAGCAGTGAAAGCGAAGAAGCCTATCATGACTTGGAAAAGAGGTCCAGGAGATGGAAAAAAGGCAAGACTCAATCAGAGGATTTATGCAAAGGCAAAAACCGCACAAAATCGCACATGAAGAAATTGAGCACAAGTCAGGTAATTAGGCTTCAATTAATGCAATGTATTGCCTGCAAGCATCAAATCTATCTCTGTTGTTCAGAGACACAAGAACAAGGTATTAATCCTCATTGCTCACATTTTATGTCATGGTCAGGATTGTGCCAAGGACAATTGCAGTAAATAAACTAAGTTAATCTGGTACTTTTCCGTACAGGAACCATATGATATATAAACTTCAAGGATGGCTTCCCTAGTAATGAGTACAGTATTTGTAGTCTTGCTACATAAAATGAATACCGTATTTGCAGCCATGCTGTGTAACAATGCCCATTTTGGCTTGCATACTTACAGTGATTCTGGCCTTCATTCTCATTCCCAAAATGGCACTCATAGGCTGTGGAAACTACTCTGAAAACAGGATGCACCCCCTGGTTTTGGTAACCTTGATCACAAAGAAGTGACCCATGTTAATAATAATAAATTTTATTTATATTCCACCCTCCCCAGCCGAAGCCGGGCTCAGGGCGGCTAACAACAATAAAACAGTACAAAAGTACAGCATAAACAACATTCTAAAATCATTCATTATAAAATTAATTAATTCAAGCCACTGGCAACCATTGGGCCAGAGCTCCGCGAAGATTGCCGAGGGAGGGAGTCAGGCTGTGCCCTGGCCAGAGGCCTGGTGGAACAGCTCTGTCTTGCAGGTCCTGCGGAAAGATGTCAAGTCCCGCAGGGCCCTGGTCTCTTGTGACAGAGTGTTCCACCAGATCGGAGCCACAGCCGAAAAAGCCCTGGCTCTAGTTGAGGCCAGCCTAACTTCTCTGTGGCCTGGGACCTTCAAGATGTTTTTATTTGAAGACCGTAAGTTTCTCTGTGGGGCATACCAGGAGAGGCGGTCCCATAGGTACGAGGGTCCTAGGTCGTATAGGGCTTTAAAGGTTAAAACCAGCACCTTAAACCTGATCCTGTACTCCACCGGGAGCCAGTGCAGCTGGTATAGCACCGGGTGAATGTGATCTCGCAGCAAAGACCTCGTAAGGAGTCTCGCTGCAGCATTCTGCACCCGCTGGAGTTACATATGTTGTCATATGTAACTGACTATGTGGCATATCGTAAAATTTAATGGCTTGGAGAGTGGGAATGTGGGGGGTGGGTTGGGATGGCACTGCTTTTTGTTTGGTGAATGGCCAAGCTGATATGCCAGTCTTGATACGATTTTCACTGTGTCTTTGTACTTAGCACGCAGGTTTTGTTTAAGGCAGACAGCATGAACTGTGTGTGTTTGTGGGTGACACTTATCAGAATAGCAGCTAACAGGAGGGGGATTCAACCCTTTTGCCCCCTGTTGTGGTCCTGGGGAAAATCCCTGAATCTGGTATTAGTGGCCCTACCTGCAGTGATCCTGGTAATTTTCAGCCACTCCCACTGATGAAATGTGGAATTTAAAAACCTGCCCATTAAATTCAATGGCACGTTTAGTTCGGCCCTTTGTAGCCCCTTGAGGCTGAAAGAGACAGAGGGGAGAGCATTACCCATAGAGCCATCGTTGAGTGTTTGGCTGAGGGTAAGAACAAGGCTGCTTTAAGTTATTTAAATGTATACTAATTTAAAATAGTCTGCTGCTAACAGTGGAGCAGGGCCAACATATTCCAATGAGCCACCCAGCCACAGGCAAGCATAGTATGGAAAACGGATGTTATTAATACTTCACAATATTACACCCATTCTGCATTATTTTTTTTACTACAACGCAAAGTTTCGGTCCATTCTACTATTATTCATAAAAGGCTTGTTATGTTTAAAGAGAGAGAGGAGGGAGCTGGCACACATATTTTAATAAAGCCTTTCCTTAGTAAGTAACAATATTGAGCTAATGGCCTCATCAGTTATTTTACACGTTAGCCTATTAGCAAGATTGCTACAATTAGGACACTCGATTTTTTTATTCCCCGGCTTCCACTAGATGGTGCTTTTAGCTAGTATACTGCGGGGAAATCAAATTTTAAACTGCAAGCCAATTCAGAGCTTTTTCCACTTTGTGCTTAGGATGTTGTTATGCTCAAGGCTAAGAGAGCTGCTGGCATCTCTTGCCGTATTGTTATCACATACAGGATGGTTGTTGCAGCGTCTAACAAGCAAGAGCCATTTAGTAAATCAAATGTACATTTTGTCAAAGTTCAGATCACATTTCAAGAGGTAGTTTTTTAAGAAAAAATTAAACTTTTCATGTGACGATAACTTTAGCTGATCCAGCTGGGAAGAGTCTATCTTTTCACTTACTAGATTTAAATGAAAGAAAGTGAAATTAGATGATGTAGTTTTGAAAAGTTTTATATGTAGATAAAAACATCACATGAATAGTCATAGGTACCATGAACGGATGCCATTATTGGGCGACTTGATTCTGTCTTGGGGTTTTCCTTTGTGCTCTTCACTACTCAGATCACAAATTTTTATTTCTCTGACTTGTTATTTTTCCTATGAAAGTGCAACTCAGAAGGACTTTAAGCCATGCATGTGGGCCAAATTTTGTGGGATTTCCTTCCACTTGAGTTCAGATAGCCCCTCTCCCTATTGAACTTACTTCCAGTGTTTGCTGAAGATTTTTTTATTCCAACAGGCGTTTTAATTTAATTCTGATTTTATAGTTTCAACTCATTTTTAGTCTTTTTGTATTGGGTCTCCCATATACTTCTTAGAGATGGCTGTGATTAAGCAGCATGCAATTTTAAAGAAATAATTAATTAGATATATTCCCTTTGGGCAGTCAAGGAGAATAGATTGTTTTTAATGTTCATATCCCTTCAAACTCTACAATTCTATGATTATATGAAATGCACCATTCTATCTCTGGAGGAAAGAAGTTCACAGTTTTACAAAGACAAAAATTGTTTGGTGTGTGTGTGTGCATGTGAAAGAGTTTTCTGAAAGAACAGAACATTCAAAACAGCACTGACACGGACAGGTGACATTTCTTGCACTGATGTCAAAAGGTGCTATATAAAAAGCATTTCTGACACTAGCACAGCTACAGTCCACAGGACAATACTTTCCTTTTTCAGAGTAATTTGATTTAGTGCTTGAGCAGAGATTCCCTAGCAGTCTGAACAAACCATGTCTTACCTCTATCTGCCCAGTTAACTTGTTGAAAGCTGCTTTAAATTTTGTGTGTGTGTGTGTGTGTGTGTGTGTGTGTGTGTAATATCACAATAAGGAAATGTTTCCCATCCTAAGCCCTAGATGTATCCAACAGATTACTCACTGTACAAAATGCATTACACATATCTCAGAGGAGTATACAACATATACACAAATAAAACAATAATGTTCCTGTTCTGTCATAAAAAAATTGATATGTAAGATATCACATCAAGCTGAAAAGCTGTGGTGCAAGATCAAACATGAAGCTGAGGTTTGTTTTATTTATTTTAGAGAATGGATTTGTAGTGAGCACATGCTGTTCAGAAATGAAAACCTATTTCTCCATACAGTGGTACCTTGGTTCTCAAGCTTAATCCGTTCCAGAAGTCTGTTCCAAAACCAAAGCATTCCAAAACCAAGGCTTGCTTTCCCATAGAAAGTAATGCAAAATGGATTGATCCATTCCAGATTTTAAAAACAACCCCCTAAAACAGCCATTTAACATGAATTTTACTATCTAACGAGACCATTGATCCATAAAATGAAAGCAATAATCAAAGTACTGTACTATAAAATAAATAAGACAGTATTGTAGATGATAAAAATTACAATTATTATTTTTTCCTTACTTGCACTGATGATTGTCAGCTTTTATCCATTTCCGCAGTCACACAATCAATCAATCAATCAATCAATCAGCTAAACTGGATTCCACACAGTCACAAAAACAAATGAACCAAAAAAGCCTCAAAAACAAAAACGCAAAATAAATAGCAAAAACAAAAGCGCCAAACTTAATCCATTCCGGAAGACCATTTGACTTCCAAAATGTTCGAAAACCAAGGCGCAGCTTCTGATTGGTGCAGGTGCCCTGGAAACAATAGCCGACAGCCGCATCCGAAGTTTGGCTTCCGAAAAACGTTCGCAAACAGGAACACTTACTTTTCAATGTTTGGCAACCAAGGCGTTTGAGAACCAAGGTACCACTATATGTACTTATGTTGTTGTCATCAGAGTGATACGCTTATAGATCTCCTGTGGTATAAACAGCTTTTTTGAACAGCTTTTGTATATATATAACTTTGATTTTCTTCTCTTTGAGATGCTTTTTCTTTGTCCCTCTTTTTTTTTTATTAAAAAAATATATTTAAGGCATCTGATGATTTATCAGAAACTGACATAAGCAGTGAAGACCATCAGACCAAGGCAGACCCTATGGAAGAAAAGCTGAAGTCAAGGTTATATGAACTGGCTGCAAAAATGAGTGACAATAGGGAAACCTCTTCAGAGGAACAGGTGTCAGAGCCAAGAACAGAATCTGAGAACCAGAAATCGTGCTTATCTTCAGAAGACAGTGGCAAATGCATTCAGGAGGAGCTAAAGAAGGTAGGTAGTGCCTGGTGGTTGAACGGTTTGCAAACACGGGTGAATATGCTACTGGGGCAGGAGACACGCTGTGGTGTGCCTAGAAGCAGTGGTTGCCATGAGTACAAGTTGTGATTTGCCAGCATCCACATCCTAGCCAATGTATATGCAGTCACCATGTGGCTGTGGTGGCATTACATTGTTAAGTCTCCACCTCATTTCCTTGTAGCTGCTATTAGCATGTTATGACTGGGTGAGTGACTGCCAGTGTTTTGGGTGACGTCCCCATTTGATGGCAACATTATTCTTCAACTCAAGAAGGTGATTGGGAACATTTGTGTTCAGATTTGTGCTCTTTGTTCATTCTTTTGGATAGAAGCCTTACTCAAAGATTTGTTTTTAAAAGATAGATAGATAGATAGATAGATAGATAGATAGATAGATAGATAAAAACAAATATATTTCTGGTTCATTTTCAATGATCTGGGCAGTACAGTGCTTCAAAGGTATATACAAAAGCACAAGAATCAAATAAGACATAGAACTCCCATTGGTATATTGTTCCAATCTCCGTTCCTGCAGAACATAGATATATTTTAAGTGGTAAATGGTGGTGGTTTTAGAAGTGGCAGCTTCATTCAGTTAGATGACAGGAGTAAACTCTATGATCTGTAGAAGTTCAAGCTTTGATAAATCATTTGATGTGATTAAGCAAATAGCATTCAATTGGCTATTAAAGTTTAGTCACTAATTAGTTACCAAGACTGATGACAAGTAACAACTCTGGAACGGATGACTCATAAAGTTCCTGTCATCGTGCAGTCCGCACAGATGGATCTGTTTCCTCTTTCCTGCTCCAGAGTTTATGAAACATGAAAATTCTGTTTTTATTCCTGGCTTGTTTGCAAAACTAGCACATGGGTGCGATTCTCTCCCCGATGCTTTTTAACATCTTTATGCGCCCCCTCGCCCAGCTCGTCCGGAGTTTTGGGCTGGGTTGCCACCAGTATGCTGATGACACCCAACTCTATCTGTTGATGGATGGCCATCCTAACTTGGCCCCAGACACACTGACCAGATGTCTGGAAGCTGTGGCTGGATGGTTACGTGGGAGCCGGTTGAAGTTAAATCCTTCGAAGACAGAGGTCCTCTGGCTGGGGCGGGACGATATGGGATCGAGGGGGCAACTCCCATCTCTTGCGGGGTGCAATTAGTGCCAGCACCGTCCGTTAAGAGTTTGGGTGTAATCTTCGATACCTCCCTTTCTATGGAGGCGCAGATTACAGCTATAACAAAGGCGGCATTTTTCCATCTCCGCCAAGCTAAGCAGTTGGCCCCTTATCTCTCTCGCCCTGACCTAGCCACTGTGATCCATGCGACGGTCACCTCCAGACTGGATTATTGTAACTCGCTTTACGTGGGGCTGCCCTTGAGACTGACCCAGAAACTCCAGCGGGTGCAGAATGCCGCAGCGAGACTCCTTACGGGGTCTTCGCTGCGGGATCACATTCATCCAGTGCTATACCAGCTGCACTGGCTCCCGGTGGAGTACAGGATTAGGTTTAAGGTGCTGGTTTTAACCTTTAAAGCCCTATACGGCCTAGGACCCTCGTACCTACGGGACCGCCTCTCCTGGTATGCCCCACAGAGAAACCTACGGTCTACAAATAATAACACCCTCAAGGTCCCAGGCCTCAGAGAGGTTAGGCTGGCCTCAACTAGAGCCAGGGCCTTCTCGGCTGCAGCTCCAACCTGGTGGAATGCTCTGTCTCAAGAGACTAGGGCCCTGCGGGATCTGACATCTTTCCGCAGGGCCTGCAAGAAAGAGTTGTTCCGCCAAGCTTTTGGTCAGGGCGCAGCCTGACTCCCTCCTCCGGCAACCTGCACAGAATTTTGTTTAATCGGTTGCCATCAATTTGATTTTACTAATTTTATAACGAAATATTTTTAGAAATGTGCTATTATTTGATTGTTATTGACTGTTGTTAGCCGCCCTGAGCCGGCTCGCTGGGGAGGGCGGGATATAAATAAAATTTATTATTATTATTATTATTATGGTTTGCCTTTCAGGTTGGAACAACTGTGGCTTTAAGATACTAATGCTAATCATTTAATTATTATTATTATTAAAATGTGTAACCCACCTTGCTAGGCTAAATACCAACTCAATGTGACTTTAAATATCTATCTACAGTGGTGCCTTGCAAGACGAAAATAATCCGTTTCGCGAGTCTCTTCGTCTAGCAGTTTTTTCGTCTTGCGAAGCAACCCTATTAGCGGCTGAGCGGATTAGCACTATTAGCGGTTTAGCGGCTATTAAAGGCTTAGCGACTAAAAGGCTATTAGCGGCTTAGCGGCTTAGAAAAAGGGGGGGAAGCAGAAAAAATCGCAAGACTCGCAAGACGTTTCCGTCTTGCGAAGCAAGCCCATAGGGAAAATCGTCTTGCGAAGCGCATCGAAAAACGGAAAACCCTTTCGTCTAGCGGATTTTTCGTCTTGCGAGGCTTTCGTCTTGCGGGGCACCACTGTATATCTATCTATCTATCTATCTATCTATCTATCTATCATCTATCGATCTATCTATAATCAAACAAAAAACCAGCAATCAACAGAGGTGAAACGGAAAAGCAAAACCAATGATTTATTTTTTCTCTCAAAAATGCTTGCGAAAATAATAAGATTGTTAGTGCCTGCTTAAAGTGATCAATGAGGCACCAACCAAACCACTCTGGGGAGGTTGTTTCATAAACTGGGTGCTACAGTGGAAAATCCAATTACCTCACCCAGCAACTGAAATTCTGACATGTGACAAAAAGGGTCTTAATGACAATCAGACAACTGAAGCAAGCAGTACTCATTTGAAATTGTGATCTTTTAGGCCTAGTTGTGCTGCAACACTGCTTAACCTTGAGCTTGTTTATTTGAAAAACCATTTTGGTGTGATGTTGTGATGGAAAGTACTTCACTTTATAAAATTTGATTAACTACAAAGTATCCAAGTTAGGTGTTTCATCCTCGCCATGAATGAGCTTTTGCCTATTACATTTTACGCTTAAGAGAGAAAGTCCTCTTTTGCTGTAGAAACTTCAAAGAACTGCCTTCATAGATAGTGGTTTTTTAATCCAACATAGTCTAGTGATAAATTGTTCAGTTGGTTGAGAGCATTTCATGCACTATAAAAGTTGATTTGCTGTGTTAATGAGTGAACAAGTATTTCAAACAACAGCAGGGGAACCCTTTAAATGATCTTCCATTTTAATTACTTTTATTACTGTAATGGGGCAGCAAGTGACAATGGGAGGGGGGAGGGTAACAAGCAGATGGAGAAGACCCACAAAACTACTCTACTTCGTGCCCACGATATACCTGCAACTGTGTGGGATAGCTCCATGGTGGAACAGCTCCCATTTCCCCAAACCATGTGCAGCCGAGGGCAGGATAGTAACCTTTAATGGTAGGTTCAAACTAGTACACATTTTTTTAATCTTTTTATTCTGTCTTCCCTTCACTCCATAGCTCTTGCCCAGTGAATTGTGTCTATCACTATCTAATTTCTCTCTCCTCTTCTTTTCTAAACTGCTTTCCAACTACCTAGGAAAAACAAAAGGCTTTTGATCTCCATCTTAAACTCCAGTTTTTAACCTCAGCACTTCAGCAGGTGAGACTGGACGATTTTATGTGTGCTAGTGAGCTTCATCTGAAATAATCGCTCTTCCATGCATTTACTCGTATTCTGAGGTTTGCAGGGTTTGGATATGATAAAAAGCAATTCTAATAATGCATTTCTAAGTTGCTTCTTAACTGTTCTGCTCACCATTCAGATGAAACCTGTTGTAGCAAAAGAAAACAATAACAAAGGAGTCAAACTTTTTCCTAATCATAAAACATGAGCCAGACTTCTGGGCTTGAGGGCAGTCAGGGTCCTGTGTGAGTGTCTTGGGGCGGTTGGCGGATGGATGGTGGCTAACAGATTGAGGTTGAATCCTGACAAGACAGAAGTACTGTTTGGCAGGGAGGGACAGGGTATGTGTGGGGGACTCCCTGGTCCTGAATGGGGTAACTTTGCCCCTGAAAGACCAGGTGCGCAGCCTGGGAGTCATTTTGGACTCATAGCTGTCCATGGAGGCGCAGGTCAATTCTGTGTCCAGGGCAGCTGTCTACCAGCTCCATCTGGTATGAAGGCTGTGACCCTACCTGCCCACAGACTGTCTCACCAGAGTGGTGCATGCCCTAGTTATCTCCCGCTTGGACTACTGCAATGTACTCTACGTGGCGCTACAATTAATCCAGAATGCGGCAGCTAGACTGGTGACTGGGAGTGGCTGCTGGGACCATATAACACCAGTCCTAAATGATCGTCACTGGCTGCCAGAATGTTTCTGAGCACAATTCAAAGTGTTGGTGCTGACCTTTAAAGCCCTAAATGGCCCCGGCCCAGTACACCTGAAGGAGTGTCTCCACCCCCATTGCTCAGCCCAGACACTGAGGTCCTCCCTTTGAAGGGTCTTCTGCTGGTTCCCTCACTGCAAGAAGTGAAGTTACAGGGAACCAAACAGAGAGCCTTCTCAGCAGTGGCACCCTCCCTGTGGAACGCCCTCCCTTTAGACGTCAAGGAGATAAAGAATTACACAACTTTTAGAAGACATCAGAAGGCAGCCCTGTATCGGGAGGTTTTTAATGCTTGATGTTTTATGTTTTTAGATATGCTGTAAGCCACCCAGAGTGGCTGGGGAAGCCCAGCCAGGTGGGTGGGGTATAAATAATAGAATTACTATTATTATTATTCTCCCCCTTCCCAAATATACTGGAATACCATCTTGTCCTTTGCTTTCAGCTAAATGTCTTAGATCAGCCTGACTTCTGACCTAAGACAGTGACAGTGACAATGTTTGACTCTTCTGGGGGCAGCTTATTCTTGCTCCTACATAGTAAAAATAATATATATATATTTGGCTGGAGAAGAGAAGTGTGACTCCAATTTTAATTTGGAAAAAGTGTGCCTTGCAATCAGAAATTTGGAGAAAACTGCTTAGAAACACAATAATATAGATGTAGGAGGTTGCTTTATCCAAGGGCAAACTATTTGGGGTTCCCTAAAGCCTGTTGATACCTCCCTGTTGTGGTTTCGATGGTACAATTTTGGCAGTATAAGCAGTGCTATTTTTCTAGAAAATGCCTCCTTAAACACCTCCTTTGTTCTCTTAGAATGGCAATGGCGCCTACCCGAGAGGTGCCAGAACAGGGTACCAGTGAGTTCCGGCTGAAAAAATGCCCCAGAGTATTGGGCTCAGCACTCAGAAAGTTTGCTGTTAGTTCTAAGAAACTAGTTGGCGCAGCCATTTTTACTGTGAGACTTAAAAGGAATGCAAATTGAAGGAATGAAAGAGAGTCAAAGGCATGGTATGAAGTACATTTCAATTCCCCCCCCCCCCAATATTTTTGTGAAGTCTGAAGTGAATTGCGTAACTCCAACAATGATGAATCAATGTACAACCTGTTACCACCCCTTAGATGAAGACAACAGATATTGACTGAAGAACAGCCACATGGCTGTGAGCATGATAAAGCACCTCAATAATGGAGCTTGTAATGTGTGCATGGTGATTTAAGGATGTGGTCAATACTGCCAAGAACCATTAGCGATGGAAAAGATTTTTATGCACTCATTCTGTGTGCCTCATGTTGATTTGACGTTTCCTCAGAGATAGCGTAAGTCACTGCATAAATCACCGTTGAATTCAGAGTCCAAGGTTCCTACTATCTCACTCAGCTATGACCAAAACTTTAGAAGTAACGGCCCAGTCAAAGTTAAGCACTTTTCTGTCCAGTTTATTTAAATGGGTTAAATTTAAGCGCAAGTTTATTTCTCCCATTGAAATCAATCAGACTTAAAAGTGACAGCATCACTGACAGGTGCAAATGAAACCAAAAGTCTGTCCTCAGTTTAAATTGGTTTAGGGAGGGGGGAGAGACCATCAGTTTTCAGGAGGGGAGGGTGTTGAGGCCGCCATACTGGGGTGCCCACTATATTGCCATGAGACCGTTGCTTAGCAGTGCAGTGTGTCTAGATAGGAGGCATCCTGGATGTGAGTACAAAATAGTGCACATCTGAATGCGGATGCTGCTTATTCACATTGAATTGGTTTTTCAATGAGATTCATATACAAATGCACACCCCTATCCACATTCTGATACAACTGCATCTTAATTGGAGCTCAAAAAAAGCAGCCCAACTGCTTTGGCAACAAAGATCCCCTTCCACTTGTTCCCTTTTTGAGCCTCATCTAAAAAAGAACAAAAACCTGCTTAAAAGTAGGATATTTGGAGTGGAGCATGGAAATATTCATAGAATTCAAATACCCTTTAAAATCAGGTTCCAGTGCAATAATGTATGATGGAAGTTCAATATCAGGCATGCAAATACAATATACCAGTACCACAACCACTTAAATATTGGTAACTACATAAGTGAGGAAGTTAACAAGAACTAATGTAGGTTTTTAGTACAGAAAGCAAAAGTGCTGGTTTTCCCTTAAACTACCTCTCATATTCTACTTCTGTCCCATTCTTTGCTGGATCTCCTCCTGAATTTACTGGTTGCCATTCACAAATGTATCACCCCATAGTTTCAGTGGAACCAATTTTAAGGGATCTCAGTGTTCAAATTAGCACCATTAACCTTTCAGCTGGCAAGTAACAAGAACAGACTGGGGGAAAGGATGTATGGGAAAGATCTCAGCCTAATGCAATTTGCTACATTCCTGTATTCATGAGCAGCCTCTTTGTCATTAGTGGAATTACCAGTAGGTAGGAACAGATGAATCGGTTTCTGCCTTCCCCAGGTCAGTTTCTCAATCATAGGGCGAGTCCCTTTTAAGCATAAAAAACCCCATCATTTAAATTGTCTGTGATCAGCAAATTAGGTTAGTTCACTTCAAAATGTCTCCTCCATCCCTACTGGCAGGTCATCAACAGTCGCCGAAGGTCTCCGAGTCTAAGCTAGTTCCAGAAGGGGGAAGGCTCTAGCTCAATGGAAAAGAGAAGATTGCAGGTTTAATCCCTAACTTCTCCAGGAGGGGCTGGAAAATCCCCTTCCTGAAACCCTGGATAGCCACTGCCAGTCAATGTTGACAATACTGAGCTAAATAGACCAATGATGCAAAGACACATTCCCATGTTCCTATCTCTGCAATGACAGCCAGTTCCTAGGACGCCCTCTGCATGGGTTTTAGAAAGATACGTGCTGCCAACCAATCCCCCATCCTGCTTTCCACCGTGCTTGATGCTCACAGGGTGCCACAGCTGCCACTTGGATAGGTCGCCAAGCTATTGGCTCTTCGTTCCAGCCTATCAGTGGGCGATGCCAAGAATATTGCCTTGCCCTGGACACTGGCAACCTATGCTATGCTACTGCAGTTAAATGTTAGTAATTGCCATTTGCTTAAAGTTAGTGCTGGCAGAGCTGATGCAGAAGCTTTAGCTAATATTTTGGATTTCGGTTCTCTTTAGCTCTATAACTGCAACAGCACAGCTAGATTGCCTAAATGTCTGTCACTTCCCTAATAGTTGCTCAGCTGAGAAACAGAGTAGATGTGACAGCTATCTTTGAGAATTGCCTATTGTAGGTAAGGATGAGTTTTCAGCAGTATGAAGAGTCAGATACAGTAAATGCCAGTCAAAAGGGCGTCCCCCCCCAGTACCAGTTGTCCACCTGTTTACTTGACCTTTCTTTGTACATTCTTATGACTATAAGGGAACGCCTATTCCACCTAAACATTTCAACATTATTCTGATGGCTAGACCTACTTTATTTATAGTAGGAAAATCAGAGCCAGCCTCCTGATTCAGGGTTCTTCCATTACCTCCAAAAACCCACTTTCTCCTGGTGAGTCAAATCATCCAGGTGATTGAAATTATAGACTGGGCAGTTAGAGGCTGACTATAGGCCATGATTTAAAACAGCAACTCAGAGATATGGTAGCACAGAGATCTGTTTGTAAAAGCGCTACAGCCTGGAGAAATTGTGCTTTGTGGTTCTTGGTTCTCATGGCCACATGCCCAATTGTTTCTCTTATGCCCTTTATCCCTGCTTTCTGCACAGGGGAAGGGGGAGAGAGAGAGCTTGTGTCACTGCTTCCAAAATAGGTCTATCAGATAGAGCTATTCTTCTGGATAGCCCTCACTAATGAGTCTCTTCTAATCCACTTTAATGCAATGGATTCTTTTTACAGTAGTTCTAATACTTGCCACAACTGGTATTCTCATGATAGGAAGCAGTAGTAATTCATGGGAAATCAAATATAATATTGCTGGTTAAGGAATGAGAGCATCCATGTCGGTAGTTGCCATTGAAGTTTTGCCACTGACCAATGATCCATTGTGGGATGCCCGTGATAGCCATCTTTTTGCTTGAGTCAGGCACTGGTACAGTCGTACTTTGGTTTTTGAACAGCTTAGTTCACGAACAACTCGGAACTCAAACATCACAAACCCGGAAGTAGGTGTTCCGGTTTGCAAATTTTGCTTCAGAAGCCGAACGTCTGGCATGGCTTCCACGGTTTCTGATTGGCTGCAGGACACTCCTGCAGCCAATCGGAAGCCGCTTCTTGGTTTCTGAACGTTTCGGAAGTCGAACGGACTTCTGGAATGCATTCTGTTTGAAAACCAAGATACGATTGTACATATTTTTGGAAGTGTTTACACAGTCAATAAAGTAAAACCATCATCACTGCTGGTCTATGTAACAACTGGTGATATTCGGGTTGTGTGCATAAGCTCTGAATGTTTCACATCATTTGTGACCTGTTTATAAAGGATTGCAGCAAGACATAAAGATCTAAGACTTAATAAATATTTTTCAAGTGCTGTCTGGATTATGAAGAAGGAAGAACTCTGGGCACATTTCTTTGAAGACTGAAACATTTGTCAATATGTAGATACTTTGAAGAAAATGTAATAGCTCTGGCAGCTTTTTTTTTTTTAATAAAAAATAATAATTAATGGAATAATGGGGCATGGAAAAGAGGCCAGTGAAAGCAAAATACCTAAAACATCTACCAAGCCCCTCTACAGCATTGATTTCTCCCTAAATATTATTGATTTCCTTCAAACTAATTGGCACCTGCAAGAGTAAATGGGAAACTTGGAAACATCATGAGAGGTTGAGCAGCTCTTCATGATTCAAGTATCTCCCAGTCTGTGAAGACAGGAAACATTTGGCTGCTTTAATTATCACTGTTATTCTTGCCAGACAGGCCAAAGACCTGATTCTATCTAACCTGCTGCCTGAGTGTCTCTCTAATCATGATGCTTCAACCATATGTTGGAAGATTAATGTATGAAGGCATTGAAAGAGCATTTATTCGGTAAACATCTTACTGACGAACTGGCATGTGAAGAATGCGAACATACAAATCTGCCTTGCGCTGAGTCAGATCACTGGCCTATCTTGCCAGGGCTAATTACTCTGAATGGCAAGAGCTGTCCAAGGTATCGAACTGAGATCTTTTCTAGACCTGCTATGTACACACCTTCTGAGATGAAACCGGAAACCTTCTGTGTACACAGCAAATGCACTACCACCGAATTATGTCTACTTCCCAAATAGCTAAAGTACAACACTGCTTGTTCTGTGGATAGGAAACCATAACCTGCTAGGAAAGCAATTTTACAGCATGGTCGGAGCCAGCAGAGCTTCCTCTTATCTGTACCCTGTTATAGTCTGCAAATAACCAAAATTGAAGCCGACTGTCTCAGGCGACATGACAAAACGTTTACTTATTGTTGTCCTCGACAATAAGCAAACATTCTGTCATGTCAGTTCTCTTGCAGGAGAGCCAACTCGTTCCCTGGGCAGCTCAAAATACAATGGGATCTGATTTGTTGTAAAAGAATAAACCATTCTTGAAACTATTGGTTTTTATTATTATTTACATCAGATTTTTGTTTGTGAGTGCTGAATAACATTGCCATTACAGTGGTGCCTCGGGTTACATATGCTTCAGGTTACATACGCTTCAGGTTACAGACTCTGCTAACCCAGAAATAGTGCTTCAGGTTCAGAACTTTGCTTCAGGATGAGAACAGAACTCGTGCTCTGGCGGCGCAGCGGCAGCAGGAGGCCCCATTAGCTAAAGTGGTGCTTCAGGTTAAGAACAGTTTCAGGTTAAGTACAGACCTCCGGAATGAATTAAGTACTTAACCCGATACCACTGTATAAACTATGAAGCTCATGCATGAGTAGATAAGGAGAATGGCAACATGTTCAAAAGCGCATTGTAGACCATGGTCTGGATTTGGTGTTTTATACCAACTGGACTGATGGGAGATACAGATCACTGGTGAGAGTAGATTTCACCATGGCTTTGCCAATCTCCCTGTCTATTCTTCAAACCCCAATCAACTCCAAGACTAGGGAGATGGGTGGGTATGATTCAGGATAGATAGATTATTCTATTTCACTCAATTTCACATGTGTTTGATTCATAAGCCCATTATGTTTAGTCGTAATCTGCTTTTTTTTTAAAAAAAAAAGAAGTCCATATGGAAAAATCTCTGCAACATTCAGCTTCATTATATAGATAGAGGGTGACTTGAAAGAGCAAGAGACCCAAAAGTTTTTTGTTTAGCTAGGCAAAGTGCAGGACAAGAAATTTATTATTATTATTATTATTATTATTATTATTATTATTATTATTATTATGGTTTCCATGTTGTAAGCAGATTATGTGGCTAAACGGGAGCTTATCAAAAAAGGAAAGCGGGAGCCTTTGTGTATTCATGAAGCAAAACAATTTCACTACATTTGCCTCTTCCTTCTAACAAGAAACTTTCCTGTTTTACAACAGAAATATTCTGCAGTGTCTCTCTGCAACATATCTACTGAGGTCCTAAAAGTCATCAATGCAACAGAGGAGCTCATAGCAGAATCTACAGGTCCTTGTGATTTTGCAGCAGATGTGTCTGACAAAGGCAAAGGAGAGTTCCCCCTGGGTGCAGACCCTATCAGACTTGATGAGCAGCTCACCACACTGGAAGAAAATGTAAGAGTGGCAGAAGACTTCATGTTATATCTGTCTGTGCTGTGGGTAGTCCTGCTTAGCTTACTCTTGTGGGAAAAGAGAGCCGCTGGTTTTGAATGGCAATTGTGTATGCAAAAAACCCAAGCAAACTAAAAGACAAAAGCCCTGTTTAGGTATTCTGAATCAGAGCAAAGCCCCCCATTCTTATTGTTATCCCTGTGAGATTTAGAATCAGGGTTCTAAAATGCATCTGACAGCATAAGAATGGGATAGCAACAGACACAGAGCAACAGAGACAGAGCTGCGGGTATAGGGAATAATAATAATAATAATAATAATAATAATAATAATAATAATAATAATAATATCTGTCCCTCAGTGTGAATCACTTCCTTCATGTTTACTTATCTCTGATTCAGGAAAACACATTTATGCAGTAGTAGTAAAGTTGAAGCCAGGTTTGGATGAGCTGTTGGGGCATTTTCCATAGTCAGGGAGAGATAAATGAGGTCTCAAACCAAAGCACGGGACAAGTAGATTAGTGAAGAAAATCAAGCACACACGTACGCTCTGTAAGGTTAACTTACAAACAGAGCACATCTGTGAATTTTCACTAGTCCTCATTAATATTCCAAAATCAATCCAAGCATATTGTTTGTTAAATCGGAATGTTCATCTTTTATTCATCCATTTCTGTCTTAAGCTCCTGTGGGGACAAAATGAATGTAAAATCACTGGAGGGGGGGAGCATTTTTTAAAGGGCTGTATCCTTGCCAACCTCCTGCCAACCTAGCAGTTCGAAAGCAGGTCAAAGTGCAAGTAGATAAATAAGTACCGCTCCGGCGGGAAGGTAAACGGCGTTTCTGTGCACTGCTCTGGTTCGCCAGAAGCGGCTTAGTCATGCTGGCCACATGATCCGGAAGCTGTACACCGGCTCCCCCGGCCAATAAAGCGAGATGAGTGCCACAACCCCAGGGCCACAACTGGACCTAATGGTCAGGGGTCCCTTTACCTTTATCCTTTGAGCTGAGACTTGTCATGTTGAAGATAGCCTCATGATCACACACAGACTCACCACTGTAGTTACATGAATGTAAACCAATTTGGAGTCATTGGCTTGGATCCAAATATACCACTGTGTGAGTGAAGAGCACACCTGCTTCTTGGTGGGGACTCTCAACATCAAGAGTCCTCTTGTATTTCCCTGAAATACTGGCTCTGGAACCACTTTGGTATTGCAGGACCTGGGGCTGGAGAAGAGGGAAATCACTTCTCCCTTTCCCCACCTGCATGAGCAAAAGTGCCTCTTGCTTGTACAGTATGATCTTTGGCCAAAGCAATGTTTTGCAGACACTGGCATCCCAAACTGCAATGTTTCTACTTACGCATTTGTCTCTAAAGCACCTCTGCCAGACTGTTAGTGTTTTGCAGAAGGGAGGAAATTTAGCGTGCCCTACCACAACAAATTCACTTTAAACAGGGAAAAAACTGCCTTTTGCACTTCCAAATGTGATGGGAAAACACATTAAAATGTGGAATGAATGAATGATTAATGCAGTGTTGGTCAGTAGTGGTCAGTGGGGTGGCAGTAGGAACCTCAGGCCCTAGTACTTGAAGAGGCCCCAAAGCTGTAGACTTACCTAACTGGATTCTGGCACATGTACTGCTTAGGTCTACCTAACAGCCGGCAGTGTGTATGGCTTGGAGAGTCAGCTCAATGACCTTGAGGATGCAGCACGCAGAATTAACAGCATTAGTTCAGAATCAGAGTTGGCTGACCTGGAAGACCAAGTGGCAACAGCAGCAGCACAGGTTCATCATGCAGAACTTCAGGTGAGATGAACAGCTAGCTCCCCAGTTCGTACCTGCCAGATAATTTCGTATTCTTTCATTGTGTTAAACAACCACCCGTGAGATGGACTCAGCTACATTCATCACAATACTGTATATAAAGCCCTTAGCAACTTGCAGGCATTTTGCCTGCAATATCTTCTTTCCCCATACATTCCCGCTCGACCATTTCAATCTGTGGAACTAGTACTGCTGTAAATGTCGCATAATACTCATTCCACATTTGTAAGAAATCAATCCTTTAGTGTGGCAGCGTGGGACTCCCTGCTTTTTGACACCAGGCAGGCACCTTCCTACTAAAAACATTTCTGTTTGAACAAGTCTACCCGGATATGTGTTTTCATCTGTTTTCATTGCTGATTTGAATTATTGTTTGAATGTTTCTTTTAAAGATTTCAGATATAGAGAGCAGAATTTCAGCGCTAACAGTGGCAGGCTTGAATGTAGCTCCGTGTGTTCATCTGACAAGGAAACGTGACCAACAGCAAACAAACCAGGTGAGGAAAATTAAACCAGTAGCCACTCCACTGATCCAACCAGACTTGTGTAGTGAAGCAGGCACACATCTGTATGGCCAAAGCTGGTATAGATGCCCACTGAAATGTGTGTCAACATCTGCAGCATAATCCTCACCTAGTCCTCATTAAGCTGGCCATGTGTCTGTAAGGCAGGTGGGGGATGGATGTCCCTGGTCCACTGTGGTCCAGACTACTAGCCCTTGCATTTGACCAGCTGTATGTAGCCAGAGTTGGACTGGAGCCAGTATTGGTTCCCTGTTATGTGCTAATTATTTACTAATAAACTGTGGGGCATTTTTCATCCCATAGATGCACACGATAGACACATCAAGACAGCAGAGACGAAAGCTTCCAGCTCCACCAGTGACAGGTACTGAAAAACAGTGGAAAATAACAGTATGCTTATCTTGATTCTGTAGTACATGTTGACTTCCCCTGCACTTGAGCTCAGGCTTTGGCAGATTGAGTGGATAAGACCAAGAATGGGTCCAAACGGTCAAGAAGGCGGTTTCTGCACATGCTGTTAGAGGGAAGTGAGGGGCGGATGGGGCCTGTCAACCTGGGAAGGGAGCCCATCTAGGAGAAGGAAAACTCTGATCCTAAATCTCTGCTGCCTTGTGGGGTATCCTCAGGAGAAGAAAAGACACAAATCCAGAGTGGAGTCCCTAAGACGGTTGGGTGGCACCTTTGTTTGTCTCCTTCCAGCAACTCTGCAGCCAACCTGGTGCCAAACACATTGCTCTGCTTTCCTTTGGAACACATCAGCGAGGCTGAGAGGGGGGTCTTGTCTGGGCAGCCCAGGACCTCCAGACACTCTGCCCAGGCTGGCGCCCCAGGGAGATCACATCAGTGCTGCTAACACAGTGGTTTGACTTCACCCCCAGGGGTGCACTCCATTGTCTCTCAAGAAAGATGGGTGCCAACAGCCAATATGACCAATTTAGGAACAATGGGAAATTATACTATGAGTAGTGATGTTAAATTCTTGAGAATAATCTTTTGGAGAATAGTCTCGATTAATGTGAATATTAGAGAATTTTCATTCGAAATAGGAAAATATTCATTTTAATTAATTGAAAATGATATAATTTTAATGCATTGAAAATGATATAGTTAGTTAATATACATGTTTATTCATGGGTAAACTTGTTCAGATGGCAACCAAAAACTGTACAGATACTTTTATGCAATGGGGCAATGCAGTGAATTCACATTCGTTGATTTTTTGCACCAAACCATTCTAAGGTGATGGCACCAGTGATTGTCATGTTAAGCTTTGGTATAAGGAAACTCAGTAGTTAAATCATATTTTATTCTTCCATTAGAACATGTACATATAGGACAAGTCAAAATATACAATTGGCATGTTAAGGTTTGATACAAGTAAATTCAGTAATAGGCTATCTTGTGTTTCCAATAGTTCTAACACTTAATAACTATTTTGGTGACTAAAACACAGCTTGATAAACAAGGCTATATATGCATATATATAATAAAGAAGCCATTAACATTAAATATATTTTCATTATATGATAATATATTTCAGTATGTCAATCTCTGGTAAATGGCACTGCAAAAACCAGCAACTGGCACTAAATAAAAATATAGAAACGTCAACTGTTTAAATCAAGGCCACCTCACATGCTGTTACACAGAATTGTATAGGCCTAGGTACTTTAAGTGTATAAAGCATTAAATGTGCTTTCGGGGGGGGGATCACACTGGTCAAGGGTATAGAATTGCAAAGAATAAGGTCACAACAAAATAGAAAAAAGGCTATTACATATAGTTGAAATACATACGAATACAAATGTTCATCAAATTAAATGAATAGCATTTTTAAAACTAAAAATAAATAAAAATGTTTTTTGTAGCTCACATTTCAGAACTGCCAATGGTGAATGACACAATGCCCATTAATATAACTGGATCAAAAAATAATTATTCATCACTTACACTGGCAATATCATAACTTGACTTATTATTTACTAGATTTTTTTAAAATGTGGGTTGTAAAACTAGTTCTTACATTAGAATTTACAGTTTGTGAATAATATTCTCCGGAGAATTCTCAAGAACATTCTCACCTCACATCACTAACTATGAGTTTATTATACATGTTAACTTTTTGGATATTTCAAAGCCAGATTAAAAACAAACAATCATAACTTTATTATAAATAAAATTGCTGCCTTAAAATATTTTCTGTGTATACTTACCTGGGAGTGTCTCATGGAATTCACTGGCCCTTCCATCTGAGAATATACAGCACTGCAAATGAATGGAAGTTAGCAGGAACAGTTTTATTTTAGAAAAGCATTTTAGAAACAATTTTGAGAGGGTGGGTTGCCAGCTACATTCCCCACCCTAATCTTCCCATTTTTTCCCATATCTGGGTGGAGCTGGGACAGGATTTTTTTCTGGGCTTTTTTGTCGTTAAAGCTGAATGAAATTGATATTAACTATCTTTTGCCATTTCTTCTTGAGGGTCATTATAACAAGCATGTCATTTGTATTGATTATTCGCATATGCACTATAACTGTATAGCACATTCTAAGCATATCTGCCCCTCCTCTAATAATTCTGAGCACAGTACATTATCCCTTGCAGAGTTACAGTTCCTAGCAAACCGTAACAAACTACAGTGCTCAGAATTCTTCGAGGGAAAGAACCTTCTTTGAATGTGCTTCAGATGTACGCAGCCTAAGAAATACTTGGTTGAAAGTCTCTTTCTGCCACTTCCAAAATTTCCTACTTCAGAGGGAAGCCTGGGAAATTACGCAGTGCACTTTCAGCAAGAGATAACTCCACAGGAAAGAGGTAGTGTCGTCTCACGATTGGAAGACACACTGCAACCTTCGCAAATGGGTGCATTCCAGAAATGATGGACTACAACTCCCACCATCCATCATCATTGACTACCACTTGATGGAGCTGATAGGCACTGCAGTCTGGAGGCCACCAGGTTGAGAATGGCTCATACTGCATCTTCCAGATTTGAACCTTGCCCCCCTTCTTTTGTAGGAGCTTAGCTACACATGTTGCCTCCTCCATCATTCTCTTGAATTTATGCAGAACGCTGGTGACGACTCTTTTTTCAGGTGAGGACATGGACGCATCTCCGGTTACACCTGTTAGAACATTCAACAGGAATTTCATACTCCAAGGATCTCTTACGCAGAGAACCAAAAAGGAGAGGAAAAGCACTGCCAAGGATAAGAAGGTAAGTACGAAGTAGAAGCTTACAGAGCATCCTGAAGCATAGGAAGCCGGCATAAGTTGATGCTGGTTTAAGTTACCCCAGTTCCAAACTCTGTTCAGGAGTGAGGTTATTGCTAGCTGATCCAGAACGAGCTTGGCAGGACGAAAACAAGCCTTTACAATACAGTCTGACTTACACCACCCCATTTGCTAGTATAACTTCTGCTGGGTTGCCAGGTCTTGTGACCGAGTGAGAAGAGGTTTGGAGTAGATGTAATACTCTACTCACCCTCCACAGCACCCCTTTGGGGGCTTATGCCAACATAGATAGATAGATAGATAGATAGATAGATAGATAGATAGATAATTTATTACAGTCAGAGACCAGCTTATAAAACACACTTGGGGGTACAGTCACAGAAGGAAAACAAACAATTAAAACAATGCACAACAATAAATTTAAAAACAATGTACAACAATAAACTACCGCAGGGAGCTGACCCAGAGTCACCCATAAAACCAAGTTTGGGGATTTTCTTAACGCACTAGTTTGGGTCGGGTGGTGGTCTGCGCCTACAGATCTGTACACAGAATCTGGCGACCATCCGAGTCGTCTTCCGATCTTTGCCTAACAGGAAAAGGTTGAATTTTTGCTTTTCCGGGAGGTCAGCGAGCCTCACCAGTAGGGGCTCAGTGGTCTCACTACGTGCCTCTTCATAAAAGGGACATCTAAAGAACAAGTGCTCTGGGCTTCCTGTATCCCCCAATGAACAGGCGCAAAGTCTCTGAGCGTATGGGACTTTTTTAAAAGGCTCCTTCCAGGGCAGAGCCGAGCTTCCAACATAAGTTGCTTGAGGGGGGCCAGCGTAGCCCTGAGATAGCCCAAGGTCCACCTCTCCCAAACTCACTCATCCCATTGGTTCCTGGGTTTGCTGTTTCTCTCCCAAAACCCAGATCTTAAGAGGGGGGGGAACAAAAAACATTCAAACTTCATTGCAAGTTTTGAATTCTAAAATTCGTTTACCAATGAAATGTATTGAATCAAGCAGGAACTTCATGCTGTGACTCAAAAAAACACGTGTGTATTTTTAACGCCATCTTTTTTGTGATACGTCATCCTGGTTATAAAATGACTTCAAAATCTCAGTTTCTAAATTAAAAAATTTTGAACTTCAAAGCCAAAATTGAGTTTTAGAAATGAGTAACATGTTAAGGCTAAATTACAATTTTTGTTCAGCTGTGGGGAGAACAGCGAGGTCTAACTGACCAAGAGACTTTTGGAATAACCCTTTCGCCATTGTGGACTTTGGATCGTTGAGCCTATAAATAGTCTGATCCCATGAGTTAAATAATTGCCTGTTAGAAGTTTTGCTGTATATTTATAATATTTCGTTATCAACTTTAATGTTTATTTAATTCTGTGTTTTCCCTTTTTAGGAACCAACAATAGGGTCTGCTGTAATGTACTAGAATTCTGTAATTCTACTGCCATTAACACACTGCCTGAGGCTACACACTCGAGTGCCTTTATATAACAGCCATTGTATACATCCAATAAAAAAAATGGACCCTCAAGAACCCACAATGCCTCTGTAATAGGGCTTTGCTTGGATACCTCACTGAGAAAGCTGTTCAAGTCTTCAGCATTGTGGTCTGCTGTTGGAAGCTCTGCCTTAAAGTTCTCATGAGACTCCAAAAAGGACGTCGAGTTTCATATAAGCAAGGCTCCGTGTTTTAAGATGCACTCCCCCCCTCCCCACATTGTCAACTGTTCTAAAATACGTTGTCTTTAAAATGCAGTATGTTTTGTATTCCTAATTCATCCGTTAACGTCAGCCAATATCCCACGTGTAGATCAAGGAAAAACTCAAGCCGTCCACCCCGTCATCCAGATTTGCTGGGACCTTACTGTTCACACAGTCATAGTCATGTCTGTATTGTTGAGCAATAAGAGGAACTCCAAAAGTAACTGGGTAAATCACAAAGCAAATGCTGGAAAAGGATGGCCCCTGGGGAGCTTAAATGGGAGGGAAAGCATTTTTCCGTTTGTGATCTGTGCTTGCCTTCCATGAGTGTTGTAAGTGGAAGATATGGGTGCTTCCAGATACGAGCTTTATAAATCTAAAAGGTAGCTCAGATTCGTTTTTTTATGTGCACACTATTGTCAAATTAGGGGATGCGGGTGGCGCTCTGGGTTAAACCACTACTGAGCCTAGGACTTGCTGATCAGAAGGTCGGCGGTTCTAATGCCCACGACGGGGTGAGCTCGCGTTGCTCAGTCCCTGCTCCTGCCAACCTAGCAGTTTGAAAGCACCTCAAAGTGCAAGTAGATAAATAGGTACCACTCCAGCGGGAAGGTAAACGGCGTTTCCGTGCACTGCTCTGGTTTGCCAGAAGTGGCTTAGTCATGCTGGCCACATGACCCGGAAGCTGTACGCCGGCTCCCTTGGCCAATAAAGCGAGATGAGCGCCGCAACCCCAGAGTCGGTCACGACTGGACCTAATGGTCAGGGGTCCCTTTACCTTTACCTATTGTCAAATTAGCTTCCACCCCCCCCCCCCCGGTTATGGACATCTGTTGCTATTCAGTTATTAGCAATGCACAGAGCTTGAAAGAATGCATATGTGCCGGGCCTTTTATGTCCCTGCCATCAAACCCCCTCCCCCACTACAGTTCCATTCTGAGCATATGTGCAGGTACTTTTGTGCATTCATTTAAAAAATAAAATCACCAGAAGTGCTATTACCAGCCTTTATTTATCTTAATTCACAACAGGAAACAGAGGTTTTTCGGGGTGGGTGGGCTTGGGGGGCAGGAATAAATTTCCATTCATTTGTTATTTTCCATAATGATAATAATAATACTGAGCTCTTTTGCAAGAGTGATACTTAGCTAAATCAATCCGTTGTTTGATTTGGATGCAGCAGTATCCAAAACAATTAATAATGTAATACTTTGCAGACCGCTGTAACCATCAGCGGCATAAACAAACAGTCCCCCAACCAAAAGAACAGCAGCACATCAGCAACGAAGAACCGAAATGCTCATCCAAAGACCTCTGTATTAAAATTGTATGTTGAGTCAGTAATTCCCTGCATGTACTGTTTGAGGATCTGAGAGAGCAGCTCCTCCAAACTGGGCTGTTGAAATTCGGACAGGCCTTCCGCATGTGACAATCTGCAGAAACAGGCACACTCGTATTGTTTGGGCCATGGCCACCAGAAACGAAATGGCTAGGTTGTGCTCATGTGAGGAGCACACTCATAGGTAGGAGTGTGGTGGTAGAGGCTGTTTACCAATATACCAACTCATACCTAACAAACCACTGGGCTAAAGAACTTTCACACCAGCAATGGCTGTGCATGTTCAATGAGGTATTTTACCTTCCATGTTAAGGAAATTGGGGTGTGTGTGTAGAAAAGGGTATGGACTGGCATTTTGATGACAACCGTGCCAGGCAGATGCTGGGCAAACCTTGTGTTCATGAGCAGTCCTGATTCCACAATAAATTCCTATCTCGAAGCACCCTATATTTGCTTGTTAAATGAACTTCCCCCCTGGATGAATTATAAATCTCTCCCATTCTCAACAAAAGGCACGTGCAGCTGAAATCAGTCCTAGTCTTTCCACTGCTAGAACTGGTCTCCGAGTCTGTAACTTCAGAGCCTTTCCTAGAATATAAAATTCAGATTAATGCACATTCGCTTCACCTTCAGTTACAAAAGTGAGCTAGCCATAAAGTGTAGGTGATCACCCTAATATGGGACTATATAGGTACTTTTAGAAGTGTGTGTTTGCAGTTTAATGATCAGATTTTGATAGTCCCTCGATTGAGAGTCTATTATTGATTCCTTTGTTCCCACCAAAGGGTGCGGAAGGGGCTTTTGGAATCACTGGTCCTTTTCAGAAAGTCATAATTTCGATGGATGGTTCTGTTTCAGGGCTCTCAACCCCCCACAATCTAGACAAGTGAGGTCCATCAATCAGTCTGTACTGCTTACTATGTGCTCATTATGGCTGACTTGGCTGGCAAAGACTGGTGCTGAGCCACAATCATTTAGTGGCTTTAGGAGTTGATTTGGTTGAGTATGTGAGCTAAAATCCAGGCAGCAACACTGGGCACATTGGAATGCGTCTGAACAGCAAATATGTTTGTTGCTGCAAGCCCTACTGTGGTCAGGACACTGTGTACAAGATTGCAGCCTCGTGCTCTTTCTCTGATCATCTTCGTACAACTAGCAACCCAGGTTCTATGCGACAAATGCTAACACATTAGAACCCCCACTTCACTCATAAGCATGCATTAAAAGGCTAGACTTAATGCCTTTACCACTCTTTAATTGTAAGAATAGAAGATTGGTTAAAACAGATTCTGGCTGCAATCCCAGGGAGTAAATCCTACTGAGCTTAATGTCACTTACTGCTGAGTAAACAGGTTTAGGATTGCACTACAATGGAATTGTGTACCTGCAACAATGTTAGTTTCATTACTTTCGTTTGGGTTTGTGTATTCCTAGGCCCTTATCTAAAATCCCTATCCACATTCACTCCCTTTTTTAAAATGCTGCAGACAAAATGATGCTATTATATACATGCATGAAATTCTTACTAAGTTTTATAAAACTTGACTATTCAGATGGCAGGGTTTTTTTCTGCAGTATATAAAAAACATCCATATAGTATATGATCAAATAAACTAAGCTACTTAACTAAAGTAGGGGTCTAATACAATTGTGTCGGTTTCCATTCACACCACTCTTTCTGTACTTGTCCGAGATACATTCCTAGATTCTTGTTTCTGCAGGTCTGTGTGTGTTAACGAAATGTCAATAATGATGGCTGGTCTACATAATTGTCCAATGATATTATTAGCTACTATTGTGTATGTAATATTCAATCCAACATGACTAATTTTAATAGATAACTCTTTGACTTTTGTTCTGTTGGTGTGATATAAAACAAAACTGAGTTTGGAATAGAATGTTTTCCATAAGAGGCATGAGAAGCAACTACTGTGTTCAAATGTTAAACTATTCAGTCATCTTTGACAAAAATGTGTACTTGTAGACATTGCAAAAAAAAAAAAAAAAAAGGTCAAATCCCTGCCTGCTGTATGGCATTTCAATTTTTACAAAGGTTTACCTGTGCCAAATGTGCAAAGATTTAATTTACCGTTTTAAAGAAAACCATAAAATGTATATGTTATAGCACACAAAAAATTATTTTGTCATCCAGTGAGTTCAATCCTTAGTGTCAATATTTATATTTAGATTTTTTTATATATATAAATGAAGAATATTTTAATGGTTAAGATAATATGATTCAGTCTGAGTGGAACTTAATGCTTGCCTTGTTGTTATCTGCATTTTTGCCAGGAATTATTGTGAAGAGAAATGATATGAGAGTAAAACAAATGATTTACGGAAAAATACGTGGTTTTTAGGGGCCCTGATTGATACAGAAAACATGTAATGTACTCAGTATATTTGGATTTGTATATATATATATTGCTGACCGGATGTATGTATGGGATTTAAGGCCAGCTATTACAATACAGTATACGCTCTAGTAGTAGATGAACCTGCTGCTCATACATTCCTATCGTATGTTGGAGGACTGCATTGACCTGAGAATGCTTCCAGCCATGCCCTAAGGAGACGTCCACCTCGAAGAGAACTAGGCCACAGCCCAATACACGGAGAACTAGTAGAGACTCATACAACATGCTTACCATCCGCATATTTTTGTTATGTCCCCTCCATTAATCCCAGGCTATGGATCTGAGTTTGACAGAACCCCAAATTTCAAGTGGCTCTCCGTATGGGTCATTCCATCAAGTGATCCAACTTTTTTTAACCTCATGTCATCCAATTTTCTTAACATTTTGTACACTTGTGGAATGACCGGTTCCAGTAACCAACTCCAGTTCATGAGGTATCGCCTTGCTTTGCCGGTGCCGATGAGATATGCAGCCAGGCTGCTGTATCGGTAACAGCCTAAAAGCAGACAAGAGTTCAGATTTCACATCTTTCTTTCTTTTTAATAGCGACCATTACATAATGCTTTTATCAATGTTGTTTTCATTCATTATAACACACTGTGAAATATTGCAGGAGAGGATGCAGCCGGTAACTTTTTATACAACTTATTTCAAGCGCATATCTTTTTGGTCGAACTATCATAGAATTGTAGAGTTGGAAGTGACCGCGAGGGTCCAGCGCCCTGCAATGCAGGCATCTTTTGCCCAGTGTAATAGTAAAATTATCCCAGTTTAGCAAGAGTGACCACTGCTTCCTGTGCATACAAATGGGTGCCCCATGGAGTAAAGTCCCCTTGCATCCAGTTTCTGGTAATGTGTGTATTATGGCACATGCTGTATGGACCATCATAAACAGCTCTCATGGTCAGCTCTGAGACTGTTGGTCTCCTGACTAAGGTAATGGGGTGGAAGATGGGACTGAATTTGTGCTCACTACACGAATTGGACATGAATTGGATTCAAGATTTTGAATCTTAAGTACATACCATTTGCACACGAAATAAGTACAGGGCAGCAAATCTAGACCAGGCAAATGAGCATGGGTGTGTAGAAAGGAGATGGCACTTAAAGTGAAAAAAAGAAAAGAAAGTTTGTTTCTGTTAAGTATAATGAGCAGAAAGAAAGTCACCAGCCATCATCATCTGCTTCTAGTGCTGCTTGTTTTTGTAAAGCAGTCAAGATAAGTTCCAGGTTTCTGCTTCTAGACCGCAGATTATTCCGACCGAACTTCAGCTGCCTTTTCCCAAACCGGCCAATGGGTCGAACTCCACGCCCCACATACCAAAATGGATCGATCTCAGGACCTGGAATTCAAAGCAGTTGGTGAACATAGATCTATCAACCCATTTATCAGTTAGCAATGCTTGGCTTAACAATGTAAATCCCCTGGTCTCTTGGAAAACACTCAAAGGTTTGTCGCTATTGATAGACGGTATATAAAACAAACCCAAGGGAAGAACATGCCTTCAATATTTTTTACCAATAATGCATATCATAAAAGGGATAGTATCAACAAGAGTCAAAGGACAGGTGATATATTCACTATGCAGCTTGAAATGGAAATCAAGACTGCACATCACCACCATGTGGCACTTTGGAATGGCTCCAGCACAACCCGGGATGATCCACAGCTGTCAGAGCCCAGATCTGGGCCCCAAACTGAATCAAGGTGTTGCACATTGATTAATTAATTTAATTAAGCCCTGCCTGTG